GCGACGCGAACGGCTTGCTCGAACTGCTGCGCTCGGCCGACGCAGGGCGCCTCCTGTCTTCTCTCCACGCACGACGCGCGGACGGTGCTCGCCGCTCGCGACACCAAGGCGTGCCTCCGAGTCGGTCGGCGTCGCGAGCGCGCGCGATAAGGTTACACCATCGGCCTTAAACGTCAAGTTCAAGGACTCGCTCTCCTCCAACCCGGAGGACGTCGGCCAGCGAGGCGCTTTCGTCGGCCTCGGCAACACCGAGCCCGGCACGAGCGCGGACGTCTTCGGCCTCGAGCAGCGCGGCGCTGTCGGGGACGGCGACTTCAGGCCGAGCGACGGCGGCGGCTATGTGGCGTACAAGAAGGCGGACTACGCGCACGCCCGCTCGGACACCGACGTGCAGATGTACCTGTTCGAAACCTTCGGCGGGTGGTGCAACGCGGTCAAGCGGCTGTTCTACCAGATGAAGGACAAACAAGGTGCGTGCGCAACAAGCTCTCGAAGCGGCAGCACGAGGACGAGGCGAGCTGGTCGACGCGGTCGTGGCTGTCGCTGCAGGCCCAGCGCATGTCAGTCGCGCTGCAGCTCGCGGCGGCGGAAGAGATTGCGACCGAGCTCACAGGCTCGCCGCGGCGTCGGAGGACGCCGCCGTCGCCTAGACTCTCCTGCGTCACTACGTGCCTCCCCGTCTTTGTAGCCTGGCGTTTGTGCCCCGTTTGTGCCGCGTCCCGTGCCCCCGAGTTCATTTTATAACAACAGTACTATTAAAAAATGAAATATCGGCGTAAACGAATCGTGTGCCAGAGAATCGTCGGCACGGCCCACAGGTCTAGGCCCATGCTTGCTCTCGCGATGCTGGCAGGCAGCCAGCCGGCCGCCTCCTGCGATCGGCCGCTGAGAGCTTGCTACGATGCCATGGGCGGGCAAAGCTGGAAAAACGCGGCGGGGCGGTCGTGGCTCGACGCCAATATTCCGTGCTGCGAGAAGGCGTTTGTCACCTGTCACAAGGAAAAGGAGGAAATTCGCACGATCGCGTGGCGGAGCATAGCGGGCCTGATGGGCACCATCCCGCCGCAGCTTGGT